CTTTATTCTCTTTTTCACATTCTAAAAAAGAAAACCAGTGTTTAATGTAAAATACTTGCAGCTTTCATGGAAAAAGCAGAAGTCAACAGATGTGGAACTCACTTATTACCATTTTCTTACATAATGTTGACCTTGTACACAACATGTAATACCTATATGTTTGACTTACACTGTATAACAAGCTTATAAAATTGGAAAGTTATTTTTGGAAAAGATGATGGAGAAATACATGTTTTTATTCTGTAAATTGCTCAGAGTAATCAGCTAGAAAAGATAACTTGGCTGCCTTTTCTGTTCCTCTGCTTCAGCAGCCTTGTTTCCTTAAGCCGCTGAAAAATTTCAGGGTTTATCTTCTCCCCAAACATAAAACCACTCAAACTACCAGGGGTCCCAGGGTATTGAGAGGGGAATGATTTGGCAACTCAAAGAAAAGTTCTGGTGAGGTGCCCCTCAAAGCTACATCCACAGCCCAGTGGAATGAAGAATTTCTCACCTCTGTAGCTACCCCAGCACAGCACAGATTGTAACAACAGATCCACCTATTGTCCTTTTTCCTCTGGACAAAAGGAAAATCTAAATTTAACTTAAAGTTAGTAATGTCTGGATTTTGTGATCTTTGATCTGTCTTCTCCTGGATTATGTTGGTTATCTATTTGCTGCACAGTGGGTGCCACAATTTGAATGGTAATGCTTTTCCTCTCTGAAGCAAAGAGAGGGAGAATCTCAAGAGTGGATTGTTTAATTTCAGTGCAGCCAGCTCCACTGAGAAAAGCCATGTTTGAGCACACTCCCAATGCTCATCCAAGATTTCCCTGTCTTACTTCTTCCCTAAACTGCTGCTTGCAGGACATGCTTCTGTCCAGAGACAGAAAGGAGGGGAAAAAAAACAAGACTTAAAGACTCAAAGTCATGCTAAACTTGTGTCTCTAGACCAGTATTCATCACAAACTGTCATGTGCTCTGTAGCACTAACTAATGTGACTAACACATCACATGCTTTGTTCCTCACCCTGGCTTTGGGGAGAGAAGCCTGTGCATGGACATTCTGTATTAATTCTATTTTTTCCTTAAATAATTCATTCAAGGGTCAACACATTTTGGTAGAAGGGGCCAGGCCAGAGCCAAGTGCTTTGTGCTGGAAGACACACTTTTGGGTCAGTTCTTGAGAAAGCTCTGTTGCAAGAATCTCCATCTGGTTAAACTTTTAAAAATTCACCCCCATATCAAGTTTTGTAATATAAAAAAAAATAAAAAGAAAAGAGAGAGAGAGAGAGGAAATTCTACTCCCACTAGCTTATGTTTTCTCCTTTTGCTCTGTGCTGCAACAGGGCTTCTGGTATAGACTTGTCTGAACTCCTGAGCTATTTGGAAAACATGGGGCTGGTAAAAATAACCCAAGGAGAAGGACTGTCTACAACTGCCTCTCCTCACCCCTCATCTTCCGCATGCACTACCCTCAGGGTTCAATGGTCTTGGTAAGGAAAATGAAACACCTTGGGTAATGCTAAAATGTCCAGTGTAAGACAAGTGTGGAGTATTTACTGAGTGGCAGTGCAGCATTACAGCAGAGAGCCTGCCAAAGAGGGATCAGTGCCTTCCTTACACCCCCAGGATTCATTGTCTCTTAGCCTGGGAACCTGTCTCCGTTCCCAAACAGGGATATTTTTTTTGGCAGCAAGACGGAACAAAAGGCACAAAGAGAACTAAGAAAACCCTTTCAGTGAAGCTGTACTCTTTTTTTTTTCCTGTTCCCTTGAGGACGGGAAACCTTCTAAGGACCGCTCATAATACACCCAATCCTGCTACCTGCCTGGAAGGTGCTCAGTGCTCACAGGGACCTACAGGAATTAGGGTCTATGCAGATTCCAGCCCAGCTCTCAGCCTTGGCAAATTGATCCCCTACCTTTAGCACCAAAAATACCACAGCATTTTGAAAATGAAATCACTGTTATATTTGAGTGGGCGTGTTATTTCGAGACAGCACTAATGTGATTATAAAATCAGTTGTGTCAGCTTATTGGCTCAGCTACAGACACTGATCTGCTCGAGCGTCTGTTCCTCTACCCGCCTGCTCGCCTTAGGGTGCTTTGTCCCCCCTCAGCTCCCCGTGGAAATTGAGACCATTTGGTTCCCACTAAAGAGAAAGAAACCCCTTCTTCTGGCACTTGCCCACCTCATCTCTCTGAAACTTGGCATTTCCAGAGCACCTCTTGTGCCAAACATGAGCACAGCATCCCCCAGCCCACCGAAGGCTACAGCCCATGTATGTGTATGTATATACATATATATATATATGTGTGTATATGCATGGGCTGGGCACACTGCTTCCAAGTGACAGCAGCCAAGGGAAAAGGGCAAGTGGCAGCAGCATCCAAACCTCCCAGCTTCACTTTTCAGACTTTTCACTTGAGCTCTCTCTAAACGTTTCCTCTCACCTATTACCGAATCCTGGGGGCGAGTGTTTGTTTTTCCTGCTGCTCTGTGGGCGTCTGACAGACTCGGTGCCTTGTGCTGCCAGGCATGGTTTAATGCTGTCAATGGCAGGTGACTCACTGGTATCAGAAGTGTCACTCCTGGCAGGTTTGACTCAGCCCTTCATCTTTTGGCAACAAATTGAAATAAAATAGTTTCCATTGTATGAGGCAGCTTTTCAGGCACAGCCATAGCAGTGTAGCTTTATATGCTTTATGTGTAGAGCATGTATAAAGATTCTACAGTCTGCATGCTCTACTGGCTTCCTGGTTTTTCACATTTCTATACACTTCATTCTTCTGCCTCTGAGCAACACGTAGAAAGTTGAGGCTTTCATTGCAACCGCAGTCTTCCCAAGGCCAGGTAAATGCCATGTTCCCCTTACTGAAGACAGTGACTGAAATCCTGCAATTAAAAACCTGACAAAGAACAGCTTTGCTGCTCATATATACCAAAAATATTTCCATTACTAGTGAAAGGAAAAGGCATCTGAGTATGATATTACCTACCCATCTTTACCTCAAAGTATGCAATGCCCTCAGGCCAAATTCCAAATTTTCCATATGTAAACTGCATCCAGCTGTGTGTGCTGCACTGAGTATATAAACATGAGGTTTGAATCCCACACGAGCTGTGTTTGACCACAGCACTGAATTTACAAGCTAAAGAAACTTGACAGGCACTTTATGCAATGGTCAAGATGTTTGTTATGGAGATGAGTATCTCCTGATTTCAGCAGTGAGAACGTGTAAGTTCTCATCATTATGTTATTTCTCTCAACACTGTTGCACCTTCCTCACAAACCCAACCCAATATCAATTAAAAACTTGGTCATCTTTAGCCTAAAAACCCAAACAATGTATCCCAAACTGTTTAAGTATTAGGTTGGACAATAAATTGGGCAATTAAAGTGGTAGTGGTGGTGAAAACAAGCATGTTCAGCCTGTCTTAGCATGTTTAGAAGAGCCTGAGCTCTGCTGTGGGTCCTGGGGGCAGAGCCTGTGACTGGACACAGAAAACCAAAAGTGAGGTTCTTCTGCTTTGCTGTTCTGAACACTTTGTTTGCTGTCTACAGCTGAGAGAACTTGTGCTACTCTTGAAGTTTAGGAGGTTTTGTCCTTTTAGTCTCTCTTCATAATCAGAATTATAATTATTATTTTTAAAAATTGACAAATATTAAATATTAATTAAAAACTGATACTTATTCACTGCCTGGATTCATTAATCACTCAGATTATGTTTTAAAGTCTTTTCTGATCTAAATCTTGTGTTCAGCCAAACAAGAGGTTAATGCTCTCTCTTCAAACAGACACACAAAGACTCCTCAGTGCCAAATCTCAGCTACGGCTTACACCAAATATTCACCCAGTGGCTGCCTTCCTGCTTTTTCCCTGGGGGTTTCAGTCAGGAACACAGCTTTCTGTTTGTGACAACTGCTTGGAAATGCAGGATGGAAGCAAAGGAACTGAGTCCTGACATTAAATATGGTGCACACAGTGATTTGGTGTGGTCAGTGCAGATGCAGAGATAACCGAGCCAGCCTGCACAAATCCCTTAGGCTGGGAAAAACCTTTAAGATCAAGTCCAACCACAAACCTGTTCATTGTTTTAGTTTAAACAAACATTGTAAGAAGAGATCCTTAAGACACATTTAAGCACATTAAAGCCATTTTCTCCATGCACACGTGTCAGACTCAAACCCACTCCACCTAAGCCTGTGGTGCCAACAGAAAGATCCACAGATTTTCCAGGGGCTCTCAGTCAGCTGAGAAATCTCTGTCCCTCTGAGCTCACTCAGCTGTCTTACAGCCAGTAGAGAAAACCAGCTCCTCCTAGGGCACAATCAATTTTATCCCAACTTCATTGCCTCCCTTCTGACTGTCATGGAGTCTAGACAGGAATTTCAGGTGAGACACTGAAAGGTACACGAGAGGAAACCACACCAGTATCCAGGAGGATGCACACAGCTCTTCTCTCCCTGCTTCCTGAGCTGAGGCTGAGGGAGGCACCAGCAAGTGAATTAACAGCTACCAAACCAGGCACAAGCAGAAATTCACTGTGCATCCCTTTAGGACACATTCCTGGGTGTCACTGTGGTGCCTGGGCTGTGCTAATCTCAGACTCGGCCCTTGGTCATGGCAATCACACCAAGGCTGTGCTGAGAGCCCTCAGAGCCCCAGGCTCGTGCTTCTGCCAGCCTGGGCAGGGGGGCATGAATGGACCCAGGAGTGTTGCTGAATGCACCTACAAACCCCCCCTGAAAAACCAATCTGGCAGCAGAAACCCCCAAACCTCAACCTCACCCCAAACCTCAGCACTGGGAAATGGTGGGAAGGGAAACTTCAATATGATTGTCATGGTAAATGAAGAGAACAGAATAAAAGAAAAATCAAGATGTAATTTGGCAGTTTTCCATGTCAGTTTTCCCATCTCCCTCCCTCATGCACTTTCTACAGGAGCAATCTGTCCTTTCCCTGAACGCTGAGCAATCCCAGCACTAAACTAATCAATATTAATAGCAATGGGTTTGGGAGGGGGAGGAGGGGAGAGGAGAGGAGAGGAGGGATTACCCTGACCTTTTTCAACTCACACTGCCTCAGACGGCCACCAAGCAGCTGAAGAGAGAGCAGCCAGACGGTAATGCCATGTGGTTTTAGTAGCTTTTCTTTTTTTTTAATTTTTTTTTCCTTGTGAATATTTACTCTGTTGTCTCAGTGCAGATAGCAATGAAATCTGATTTTCTGCAGGAAGGAAAAAATATAATTATATCAGCCATCTCCGGGCCAAGCCTTGCCTTGATGGGAAACTCCACTGAAATAAGGGGAATAATGCCCAGGCTGGATTTTAACTTGAATTTCTTAATAAAAAGAGGAATTGGATTAGGGAAGTTTTGACAGGTGAAATGCTGGTGTGCTTTGTGGAATTCTCTTTATTGTAATAGAGTATAATCAAAGCCATTGAGCTGTGACTGGGATATGGAGCAAGAGCAAACAAAGGGCTGGGGGAACCGGTCCTCTATTGTTATGTTCAAATGTCCACAGCAGCTCAGGGCATGGATATACTCAGTACAGGGGGCTCAGAATGAAAGACAAATCCTATTAATTAAAAGAAAATCATAATTGAAGCTCTTTGTTCCTGTTGGATTTGGGGTTTATTGTAGATTTTCCAGTTAGCAGCATTTCTTAAAATACAGGTTTATGTCAGGGGGCACTGTGGATTACTGGCAATTAATCATTGTCTCTTTTATTACCGACTATTCTTGTTGCCATGTGCAAAATACGATTTTTAGAAATTGCATGTGTGAAATCTACAGAAAATTCTATTTATGTGTTTCTTCTTTTGCTCTGAAAGAGCCAAGCCTCAGGGAAAGGTCCCAGATTGAGTGTTAGGTTTGTGGAGGTTTTTGAATAAACATTTTTATGGTATTTTAATATTTTTTCTCTTGAGGAGAAAATGCTTTGCAGATGGCTGGTATCACAGCACTAGCTAATGAAGCCATGGGTGTGTTTTCCCTTTCTTTGTCAGGACCCATCATGTCCGACAAACCAGATTTTGCAGAAATTGAAACATTTGACAAGACCAAGCTGAAGAAGACAGAAACCAGAGAGAAAAATCCACTGCCCACTAAAGAAAGTAAGTGCTTATGAGGCTATTTGAAGTATGAGCAGCAAGGACATAATCCATATTGCAGTTCATATGCAGAATGAATACTAATCACAGGATTACAGGCTCAAACTCATCCCTGACTTTAAGTGGGGATAATACTAAGACTCTATGCTGGGCTTCCAAGGATATCAGTAATTATAACCAGCAGTGCATTTTGTCTGAAAAACCCTTTCTGATGGGATTGCTCTTCCTTCTGCTGAAAGCAAGACCAGTGTTCCCACTGGGTGCTGGTAACAGGATCAGTCTGTTTGTAATTACCTTGTTCCCAGCCCCCCTGGAGGCACAGGGGACCCTCTGCCCATCCCTGGCAGGCCAGGCAGCATCCCCAGAGGCTGCTGGGCTCTGGATTTAATGTTATCAGGCAGATGAGCTGCTGCCTCCCACTGGTACCTGCTGTCAGCCCTGGGCAGGAGACCTGCAGGCACCTTCTGTGGGAATAAGGCAGTGAGCAAACCCATCATCATCCTCATCTAACAGAAAATCTCCCTCAGAAAAGCATCCCTGAGCTGTTCTCATGCAGGCTCTTCTCCCATTCCCGCTGTGCACAGGCAGCCAGATGAGGCTGGGATTCATGTTCAGCTTCAGACATGAAAAGAGCATTTGGAGCAGGTTTTGGGAGCAGTTTCCTTCAGAAGAGAGCTGCTAATCACTGTGGATGTGTGTGCTGATAGCCATGCACACACAGTCTCAACATTAGATACCTGGTTTTTCCCTTGTTTTTCCCCTGTTTTATTATCCTTGCCAATGCTAAAGCTGTAAACACAAGAGGAGCTTTGCACACCATGACCTGCTGCCTTCTAGCTATGCAGGAGTTGTTGGAGTTGGGAAGGAGTTGTCATTTTCAGGGTGATCCAAACAACCAATTATGGATTTAATTCTCTGGCTTTGAGTATGACCACAGAATTTGGTATCCTGCAGAACCATTATCGTTGAATCACAGAATGGTTTGGGTTGAAAGGACTTTAAAGATCATCTTGTTTCAACCCCATACCAAGGACATCTCTCTAGATCAGGTCACTCCAAGCCCTCCAAGCTGGCCTAGAACGGAGATGTTCCAGGGATGGGACAGCCACAGCTTCTCTGGGAAACCTGTGCCAGGGCCTCACCAGCCTCACAGGGAAGAATTTCCTTTTCACATCCAATCTAACCCTGCCCTCTGTCAGTGTGAAGCCATTCTCTGCTTTTCTGCCACTCCAGCCCCTTGTCCAAAGTCCCTCCCCAGTTCTTTTGCAGCTTCTTTAAGTGCTAGAAGGGATTCTAAATTCTCCCCAGACCCTTCTTTTCTTCAGGCCGTACACCCCAAAACTCCCTCAGTCTCTCTTTATAGGAAGGCAGAGTTTATTGCTCATAAACAGTAAAGTTTACTGATGGTGTTTTTGTTTCCTGTTTTTCTGCCAGCTATCGAACAGGAAAAGCAAAGTGAAAGTACAGCCTGAGCATAAAATTGAAGATGTGACTGCTGCTTCTTCAGTGGGGTTTTGACTTCTGAGTTGGGTTGTTGTTTTATTTTGTCCCTCCCACCCCATATTTGTTGCCCATTTATTTTAGGAAACATTTGGTCATTTAATGTTCCCTGGAGAAGTTTGTTTTGTGTTTGTTGAAGAAGATACTATGTATTTGTATTCTTAAAATTTTAATTCCAAGTTCAACCCCATTACTTGGCAAAAAAAAGAGCAATTTGCATAGAAATTGTTTTCCTAAACCTCACAATAAACAGTTTCTTCTGACCAACTGTCTTTGAGCCTTGCAGAAATCAAGTTTACACTGCAACACTTACCAACATCCTTCCTCCTTTGTTTGCATTTCCTCAGCAGCTCAGGAGTTTGGGCAGGTTGGGAAGGGTCACCCCAGGCACTCACAGATACCTTGGCTGGAGCACAGCCCCTCTCCATCCCCTCTATCCTCACCCCAGGCACTCTCAGGGCCCTTGGTGGAGCACAGCCCCTCTCCATCCCCTGGATCCTGCAGAATCCCAGAGCCCCACATGGCACCAATCCACAGGAACCCCCCTGGCTGTCCTCACAGCAGCCTGGAGACTTCACCCCCTTCCCCTGTGGCACTCAGGGTGTTTCATGGGAGCCCTGAGGGACAAACTGTGCATGCCAGGAGCTTTGAAAGCCACAGCCTGGCAGCAGGCATGGGGAAGCCACTGGCCTGCTTCAGTCTTGCCCAGCAGTAGATTAGAGGTTCCAGAGACAGGTACCCACTTACAGATTGCATGCCAAATTGATGGTTGGGCTGAGGACATATTCAAATTAACATTCCAGATGAGGAAAAGGGCTGCAGCACCCTTTCCACAGCTTTTTTATCTCTCTAACTTGCAAAGATCCAGTCAGCCTTGTGATAGCTGCAGCACAAACACAGCCTTTGGCCCATCTCATACCAAGCAATACAAGAATGAGGGAAGGTGGAAGGAAGAAAGAAAATTAAGTATTGCATTAATTTTTAGGGATGAAAGGAAGATCTTTTGCAGCACAGGGGTGTAAGACACAAACCTTCAAAGCAAGAAAGGACTCCCTACATCTTCATTACTGGTGGAACAATAACATCCTCACTGGTCTGCAGAGGACCAGGCAAAAATAGACTGGTACCAGCTCAGGGGACTCTCAATTACGTGGTATCACATTATCTCTGGAATTAATTTGCAATCATATTAGAAAAACAAATGCTTACTCTGGGCAGATAAACTGCTGTCCCTGGAGCTTCAGTTTGATCCTACTTGTGCTGTGAAGCGAGAGCAGCTCTGTGTACTTCAGCAGGGTTAGTCTGGGCTTGGACCTGCATGGGGTGAGGCAGAGAGCAGCCTGCAGGCTTCAGGAAACAGAGGGGAATGGTTGGGGTGATGGCCCGAAAGCTCTTGTTTGCCTAAGGGCTGTTTGACACCTGACATTGAATGTGAACAGTCAGAACTGCAATTAAAATAGCAGTGGATCCACAAGACTGTGATCTCTGGTGACAACAGAAAGCAACCAGAGGTGACCAGGAGACCAAAGGAAAACACAGGGCAAGAGGAGCACTGATTTCTGTCAGAGCTTTGCTAATGTGGTGCTGTCCAAAGGGATGAGATTGCTGTTTCAATCCATGTTCATCAGTTCAACACTGATGATGTTTTCATTTAATGACCAAGGTTTTTTTCACATCCTCATTTGAGGACCCCTTGGCACCTGACTCAAAGGGGTATTTATTTTCAGGTCAGCTGGATTTGCTAATACTGATTTTTATGTAAAAGGTAAGGAATGCTAGAGGTCCAGCAACAAAGAATACACTCATCTTTTCTTTGTAACTCATGGCCTCCCCTCACCCTGCACACTCCAGGGTCAAGGAGCCTCTGACATTATTCAAATATTTGCTTTGATGATGGCTCCTTCATGGAGGAAGCATTTAGAGATAGCACTTAGAGCAACACCACCTATGGAAATCTGTAGGGTTCCTACTGTTCAACCAGATTTCATTCAGCCTGTTCCTCTCCCCAGGATGGTTTTGGAGCTCTGTATTGCACTCAGCAGAGAGGCCACAGATGAGACTTTATCCTTGGTTTATCTCACGGGATGATCTCCCTCAACCTCTGCCAGTTCAGAGCATCTGCCAACTCACTCAGCAAAGATGCTGTAAATCACCAAAAACTTCTTTGGCATCACTGAAATAGGGGCTGGTCTCTGTGCCTACAAATTCTCCCAAAAATCAAAGGCCTGGGCTGTGTCCTCAGCCTGCACTTCTTGGGCAGAAGGGAAGGGAGGTCTGGCCAAAGCAAGAACACAACGGAGATATTCAGATATTCTCCTCTTGTGTTTACAAGACACAAAGGATTGGCAGCACAGCTCAGTTTGCCCAAGCACTTGGCTCAGGGCTGCTCCTGGTGCTGCTGCAGGGCTCAGTCTCCCTCCATGGAGCCTGCTCCCAGTTTAGCTGTTTGAATTTGAAGCCTGAAATGGTAAAACCAGCATCTCGGTGCTTTTATCCACACATCTCACCCCACTGAACAGGCTGAGAAGAACTTTAGTCACATTCCCCACCCCAGGATCTGACCACAAAGGCTGCAAACACCTGCTCACCTGGGAAAACCCCTCAAGGTTAAAGGGCAGATCTTCCCAGCTTTCCCCACCTGCCGCAGGTGGAGCATAGCTTTATGGCAGGGCTGGGGAGTGCTGCTTTCACAATCAGCAGCTCAGAGAGGCTCAGAGTTACAAACACAGAGCTGCAGTACTCTGGTTTGAGGAACATCCCTCTCTGCTCTTGGGGGAGGCCATTTCAACCCAGGAACTGCAGCAGGAGATTAAAGTTTGTCAAGAGCAGGGACAGGTTTGGCTCCCTGTTATCTTAAGAGCATTAAAGGCCTTATCTGTGGGGCAAGCTGGGGATGCCAACTAGGAAACTGCTCATTACTTCAGGCTGAGAGAGGGAATTTTCATCCTTCCAGGCATTACACAAGGAAATATTTGTTGCTGCCATTGAGAGGGAGCTATGAGCAGAGCCAAGCTAAGCTAAACCAAAGCAAACACCTTACCCACACCTAGGAAACACCTTCTGGGTGTTAACCTGACCTTCACTCCCTGGAAGAGCATCTTCCAGCTCCAAGGCTCCCCAAGAGCCACCCAGTTGAGGAACTGAGGCCCTTTCCCAACCTCTATGGTGATGGAGACAACCTCATCAATAAACAGAGCCAGCTCCAGGTGGGAAACTTAAATATTTCTGCCAAGTAGCAGCAGCCCCTTGCTGTTATGTAAAGGTACAGAAACAAGGTGTTACCTTGCAACTCCTCCAAAGGAAAAATTCCTCCCATGCTAATGCAGTTACAGCAAGAAAAATCATTATATGCAGCTGAACATTATTTGCAGATAAACGCCGACCTTCTTGGCATCACCATGAAGCCAGTTTTGTCCCCTGGATGCCAGGGATAGGGCCAGGCCTCTCAGGATCTTGGCCAAGTCCACCTGCCCCTGTGAGTCACCTCTAATTGCTGTGCAGAGTTGCAGCAAGCCCTGGCTGGGCAGAGAGATCTGCATTCCTGTCGTTGTTACACCAAAGTGAGTTGATTTAATAAATCTCATTAGGCAGGCATTTGATAGCAGTGAAAGCCAGGCAGAACAAGCCCAGAGCCTGGTTCTCCTCTAGGCAAAGGGCATTTGTGTGTTCCACCACAGCTGAAGCCTGGTGAAGGCCCTGCAGGCCCTGCCAGCCCCAGCTCAGGTACCACGGCCGAGTCTCAAAGCACATGTCGGGTTTTTTCAAATATATTTGGGTATTCTCTCTTATTTGGGTAATTAGCCCCAAATGTGACTGCTGAGACATGCCACAGCTCCACAGTGATGAGGGCAGTGGGTTTTGGCCAGCTGGGATGCCCATGCAAGGTCAAGGCTGGGGAAGTCTTTGGAAAACAACTTTGTGTGTTTGTTCTGCCCTGATGCAGCAGAGACCTCTCCTGCTGAGAGAGATCAGGGAAAGAAACCAGGGAGGGATGTGAGCAAAGGAAGATCTGCAGAAGCTCTGTGGGATCAGGAGTGTGAGGCACAGCACGTGGGAAGGAGGTCAGGGCTGGGAGTGCAGCCAGGGAGGTGCCCACGGCGGCAGAAACCCCAGGCAGAAGAAGCCAGGGTGGTTCTCATGCCTCTGCCTGGCTCACCCCTTGTTCTCCCAAAAACACAGGGTGAAAACAATAGCCTTTTGAAAAGCACTAACCTTCTGGTGCCAAGCTGGGGGAGCCTCCCACACTGTGCAGGGGCGAACAAAGGCTCTGTGTCCTCCTGGAGCCCTGGCACGGGCAGCAGCCCTGGCCTCACCACCTGTTCCCAGCCCACCCAGGGCCCCGAGGTGTGTCCAGCAGCGCAGCCTGCAGGGCTGGGACTGAGAGCATGCTGGGGCTGAGCCAGGCTGGGTGGCAGCAGGTGTGCTGGGGTGTTCCTCCAGCCCAACACTGCTCACACTGACAGCAGGGAAAGCTCTGCCTCCATCTCCTGTGCCCGGCTCCGTGTGCTGCTGCCTTGCCAGCAGAGCTGGCTCGGTGAGGAACAGTTGCTGGGGATGGTTGGTGCGCATCTTGTAAGCTGTGCTGACAACAGCTCTTGACAACTCCTACCATCAACTGCAGATCTCCCAGTGCTTCGTGTTTGCTTCAAGGCCCGGGGCCAGAATTCATTCAGTCTGTGGGGAATCGGGAAGGGAGGAAGAGGAGGGGGGAGCAAAGGAGGGTTCTAGCTGCTCTGGTCAAAGGGACACCTGAAAATGAGTCTCTTCAGCCTCCAGCAGTATGCACTGAACAAAATAATGAGAATTTTCAAAAAAAAAAAAATTCAGGAATTTTAAGCTGATCTCACAAATTCAGAAGCCAACGCAGTATCAAAATTTTTGATTTGGCGAAGTTGCAACAACAAGGGAGGAAAAAAATTGTGTGTGACTCCAAGTGGGTGTTGTCAAACAGCATCTTGTTTGGGGAAAATAATCCTCCTTGGTCTGCTTTGTTTTCTCATGATGCTGGAAATAATTCTTCTCCTCAGAGAGAAGAATAGGGGTTTTATTTTTCTATCTAATCATGGGAGCTACCTCAGGTCACGCCTGACCACAGCTGGTGCCCCCATCCTTGCTGGCACTGGGAGGAGTCACCACCACAAAGAGTTAAAGAAACAAGTGTGCAGGTCCCAAATCACACATTTCATTTAGCAATGAAGAAAT